TGATGAAAACACTTAAATAGGGCAAACATCTCATCTTTTAAGCTTTAAAAATCTAGATATCAGGCTTTTGACTTCCAGTCACAGAGCACCTGGGGTCATAATTCATGCTACCTGCCATTAATTGCCTCTTCCCTAGTCTGTTTTCCCTGCCTGCGGGATCAGATTAGCCAGATTTCGTGCAGCAGAACTAAAAAGTACAAAGTCCCTCTACACATGAACTTGAGGTAGGAGAGGGGTGCGCCTTCTCCCGCTCAGGTTCCTGAATGGTACTTTCTGATTCTATTTAGAGAAGCCATCAGTGACTCAAGAGCAAGCTAACTCTTGAATTGATTGTGTAAGAGGTTTAATACATTTCCTCTCTGGGCACCAATGACTAATTTCTTCATGAATACCACAGTACAGGATTCAAACATTTAGCAGGTACCGGGATGAGTACGATAGGTCAGGGCAAGGATGAAGCATGGTGGTACAAAGAGGAAAGAGAGGGGAAATGGCTACCCAAGGGAAGATAATGAATGTGCAAACAATCTTAACAGAATTCAAGTGCAGCAGCAGTTGTGGGTACAAAATGTTATGAGCGCTCCAGAGGAGGCTGTGACTAATTCTGTCTAGAGTCATCAGAGAGTGTGGGGTGATGAAGTGTAATAGGAAATAAAACTACAAAGAGCCAGATTAAGGTCTCCCCAGTCCACTTTTCATTAGTCACACTTACGTTGGGCAACTGCATCATTCTGAAGGCTCCGACTACTCCCACAAGTCACCACTTCCCTATCAGAAATCTAAGGGTCTGTTTCTCTTAGCTTCAGTACAGGTTCTAATTTGTCTTCTCTCTCCTTATGTCTCAGAGGCACCTCATGCAAATTGCTCTTGCCTCCCTAGTCTTTCTCTTCCCTCAATCCCACCCTCAGATTTTTAGACTTAGAATTCAAATTATAAACCTCATTGTCATTCTCTACACCTCCTTATTCCTCCCTCCCAAGTAGTCATCATCGACCTACTTCCAAAATCTCTCTCAAACCATCAAGTCTCTCTCAAGTCTCCATTCTTTCTGTTCAAGTCTGCATTTTCCTTTCTCCAACTACTACAATGGCCACAAAACTGTTTACTCCAAGCTCTGCTCCCATTCATTCAATCATTCATTCAACAGGATGCAAGGCACAATACAGTAGCAAACAGCAGATGCAAAGAAAGAGTATGCTTTGTAATGCTCAATCGAGCCCATTTCTTTTCAATTAGTATTATTTTTATGCCTCAGGGCTTACTCCTAGCAGAGCCTGGGGCACCTTATGGGGTCCCAAGGATAGGACCTGAGTTGGCCACTTGTAAAACAAGCTGCACTACCTCTTAACTCCCAGACTACTTCTGCAGGCCCATCGTTTAAAAATTAATTTAGCTGCAGCACGCTGGCTTCAGATTTTCAGCGATTTCCCACAGCCAACAGAAGAATCAAGAATGGATCAAAAAAGACTGTCAATACCTAGCAACTCCTCCCTCTGTCCACCTCTTGGCCTGCAACCCTCTTGGAGGCCCTTCAAACTTCAGCTACTTCTCTGTGATTAAAAGTCCATGTGTCTCTTCAGTCTTTACCTAAGCAAATGTCACTTCCTGTGCCTAGAACAAACACTCTTTTCTCTCCATTCTCCCCCTTGAGAATTCCTAACCCAGAGACTGAGAGTTCCACAAAAATTATTTTTATAAATCTGTTCCTCCCACTTACTTGTGAGTTTTTAAAGGCTGGGGCTGTCTTATGAGTTCACCCTCATCTTTTAGTCTTGGCTGCAGGAGAAAGCAAAGAAGAAGCAAAAAAGCCAAGAGAAGTTATGAAGCAAAGAACAGAAAGACTGATAGCAGCAATTCAAACTTCAGCTGATGACTTGTCCAAAATATTTATTTTGTTAAGTATTTTTGATGCCCCTCTGATCTCTAAAGGTATAGCTTCCTTTGGGGGTATGTGGGAGAGGGTCATAAACACATGAGGGCCTGTTGACAGCTCAAAGGGCTGGTACACATGCCTAATAAGAGCCTGGTACCGTACGTTCTTCCAAGTACTGGCTAGGGAGCTCCCTTTACTCCGCACCCCAAATAATACCATGAGGCAGGTAGCAGAATCCTCCCTTCTTGCACGCACGGAGCAAGCCCAAGGGCTCCCTACATGCAAGGCATATACTACTGAGTCAAACCCCCTTGCCCTCTGACTGGTCTCACTTTTATTTATTTATATTTATTTATTTTTTGCTTTTTGGGTCACACCTGGCAATGCTCAGGGGTTACTCCTGGCTTTGCACTCAGGAATTACTCCTGGAGGTGCTCAGGGGACCATATGGGATGCTGGGAATCGAACCTGGGTCAGCCGTGTGCAAGGCAAACGCTCTACCCGCTGTGCTATCACTCCAGCCCCATGGTCTCACTTTTAAATCATGAACATCACGTCTAAGTGGGCCCTTAACACTGCTGGCATTTGTACATTTCTTTCACTTAACAAGTTCATGTCATTCCACTCTTCCCACAAACACTCTCAGCTGACCTTCCTATTTCACACAAACACTGTACACAATCAAAAGAACTCCCTCAAGTTCCACAACACCTACTTGAATATTCAGTATTCATTTATTTCACTGCATATTTTGTGTGACCTAGCTAAGGTCAATCTCTCTCAATTTAGGCAACAGACTCCATTCCTCTCGCTTAAATATTCCGTCCTCTCTTGTTTCAATTTTATCCCTCTCAGTTAGACCATTTCTACCATTATCTAATTATAGAGAAGGGGAGGGAGGAGGGGAACACATAGGGAGAGGGGAGGGGAGGGAAAACTTCCCTTTCCCATGTATTTCAGCAACCATTCTGTATTTCCTCTCTAGGAATACTTCCAAACATCTGTCTTAACCTGTCTCAACTCACTGCCCAACTCCATTCTCCTTAAACCCACAAGCAAACTTTTGCCCCTCCTGATCTAAAATTTCTTTTCCAGTTCATCAAGAGCTTTATTACTTAAGCAATATTACACAGTTCATTACTCGCTCCCCCTAAGTATCTCTTCACTTGGCTTCCAGGATATCAATCTCTTGCTTTTCCCCCTTCCTCTAACAGTGCTCATTCTTTCAGTCTGGTTTGCAGGTTTCATACCTCTCTCCATCTCTTCAACAACTGCTTGCCCCAGTGCTTAATCCTTTCCATCAATAGTCTCCAAGCTTCAAATGCAATCTACGTTTATTATAACTCCAGTCCAGGGAGACAGTGAACTCTGCTCAGATTCCAACTGTCTGTTCTCATCTCCATTCAGCTAATAACCATATAAAAACCTTAACATGCAGAAAATCTAAATCTTGGAACCAACTCCTTAGCCTCCTGATCTTCCCATTCTTTTCCATTTAAGAAAACTGGAACGTCATCTTTTCAAGTTGTTCAGACCAAAATGCTCGGAGTCTTCACAGAGCCCTCTCTTTATCTCACATTCCACATCTATTACCAAATCCAGATGGCCCTACTTTTTAAATCAGACTCCATTTTGCTTCTCACCATCTCCACTGTTACCACTTAGGTCCAACTCAGTCTAACTCACCACTGCCACAACTCCTCAGTCTTCCACTAGAACACACAGGGCGCCGGCACACCTCATTTCACTGCACTCCACTTTATTGTGCTTCACAGATACTGGACTTGCAACAGCTGAAGGTATGTGATAACTTTTCATCCTGCAAGTGTTATGTGCCACTTTTTTCAACAACATATACTCACTTCCCCGTGTCATCTTTAATGAGGGTATGTTCATTGCTTTTTTAAAGTGTAATTTTCATGCTACCACACCTAATAAGGTATAGCGTAGACCGAAGTTTTATATGCACCAGGAAACCAAACACTTGGCGTGATTCTCTTTATTGCCCTATTAGATTCACTGCAGTGGTCTGAGACTGAATTCACAGTACCTCCGAGTATTCCTGTATCAGTCAAGGGATCTTTTAAAAGGGGCACCTATGGGGCCGGAGCGATTGTACAGCAGGGAGAGCATTAGCCTTACACACGCAATCCCTGGCATCCCATACGGTCCCCCAAGCACCGCCAGGAGTAACCCAGCACCGCTGGGTGTGACCCAAAAAGCAAAATAAATAAATAGATAAATAAAAACCCCACAAAAAACAAACAAACAAAAAAAAAAACACCAGGGGGGAAGGGGGACATTCAGTTAAACTTGAATTTTAAGTAAAACAACACATTTTAGATCAACAAAAACAGTATTTGGAGAAGACCCCCCAAATACTGCATGAGACACAATACCTTATCTCTCGTTTTCTGAAATCCGACTTTATTGATTAGGATTTGGGGGGGGCCACACCCTGCGGTGCTCAGGGGTTATTCCTGGCTCTGCGCTCAGAAATCACTTTGGGTGGTGCTGGGGAAGTGGAGGGGATTATTGCATATGAGGTGCTGGGGATCGAAACCGGGTGGGCTGCGTGCAAGTCAAAAGCCCTACTTCCTGCACTACCCTCCGGGCCCCCTGAAATCCGACTTTAAATGGGCATATGTGTACGTATATATGTTTTGCTTTTTGGGTCACACCCAGCGATGCTCAGGGGTTACTCCTAGCTCTGCACTCAGGAATCACTCCTGGCGGTGCTCTGGGGACCATATGGGATGCCAGGGAATGAACCCGGGTCGGGCACGAAACGCCCTACCCGCTGGACTATCGCTCCAGCCCATACATATATATATATATATATATATATATATTATATTTGTATGTTATCTATTTAACTCGTTTGACCTAGCCACCCAGTTAGGAGAGGAAAAGAACTGCATCCTGCGCTTTGTCGTTGCCATCGCCGTCTGCCCGCGGCGTGGTTTCTCCAGACACAACAAAATGTATGCTTGTCGGGGAACTGCGGCGTAAGCGACACGGCCACGAGGCAGCGCAGCCCCGGCAGCCCCGCCGCCTCCGCCCGGGCCCCGTCCCCGGCCCGGCTCCCACGGCGGCCAGGGCCGGGCAAGCGCTCTGCGGCCCTTACCAATGTTGCCTTCGATGGAGAGCCTTCGGGGCCCGCACTCCGCGCACAGACCCCGGGAGGGCGCCACGCCCTCGAGCGGGCGCCGAGCCATGGCGCTGGAGCGCGCCCGCAGCAGCCCGAGGAAGCTGCGTCCCGCCGCCGCCGCCATCCCACCCACGCCGCGGCAGGTCACTTCCGCCCAGGGCGCATCCGCCCCCCAGCCGCCGCGCACGCACGCATGCACGCATGCACGCACGCACGCACGCACGCACGCACGCGGACGCGCCTCTGACGTCAGCGGGGAAGTGGGTGGGGCGGAAACCCGATCGGGAGGGCGGGGCCCAAAGGGGGCGGGGAGGTCCCTTCGTTATCGCGAGGCTTGTAGAGAGCGTGCCGGGAGCGCGCAGAGTGGCTTTTGGCTGGGACTGCTGGGGAGTTTGCTGATGAGTGCAACGGCAGTCCCAGGGCCTCTCTTTGTTTTTGTTGTTGTTGTTGTTGTTGTTGTTGTTGGACAAATAACAGTTAAAAGAACCGTAGCAATCTCATTGCCCCTGCTCTTTTTTTTTTTTTTGCTTTTTGGGGTCATACCCTGCGATGCACAGGGGTTACTCCTGGCCCTGCACTCAGGAGTTACTCCTGGCGGTGCTCAGGGGGACGATATGGGATGCTGGGAATCGAACCCGGGTGGGCCGCGTGCAAGACAAATGCCCTACCCTCTGTGCTATCGCTCCATCCCCACCTTTGCGTTTGTGTGTGTGTGTGTGTGTTAAATTTTATACCTAAATGCAAGCAACTGATTATAATTTTAAATGAGGACTCCCTCTCAGCCCCTAGTTGGTTTTCAAGTATGGGGTGAGGGGAGGGGAAATTGGGCGTTTTTCAGTAGGAAAATGAGGCCCTCTTACAATTTACACAAATGAATGCCTGTAGCACATGGCAATATTGGCACACGGCTGAATGCTCAACAAGTGAGTTCAGTAGTACCCGATCTCATTTTGTCTCTTGAATGAGAAAGAATAACTGCCGGTCAATCGATTTGCATAACAGTCAAAAAATCCCCGTAATACGAAGGTTCCAGGATGTGACAGGAACTTTTTTAATCAGATGGGGCGATTGTAGTCACTGGGCCTGGGTGAGGGCGGGGTGGGGCAGGCTCAGGCAGGTGTAGGTGTCGAATGGGACTTGTGCATGGCTTGCCAGTGACTTGTGGATGTTGAACAACAGAATTCTGCTGTTGGAAAACTGCTCTGCAGAGGGGCAGGACAATTCTGAGCTTAGGCCACCTGGTCTTGGGTTTCTTTGTCCTCCGCATCTTACTGTCAAGACTTCAAGACAAGTATTGTCAGAGTGAGCTTCTATACTTAAATCACAGAAGTCGCACTAGGAGCTGACAAACAAGCCTGCATTCAGACAGCACTTTTAAGAGGCAGGAGGAGATGGGAACAGCCATCTGACTGCAGGAGTTGTGGGGAGGGGAACAGCAGTGCTTGTGTGTGTGTGTGTGTGTGTGTGTGTGTGTGTGTGTGTACAGTGGCTTGAGAAAACACAGTAGCCTTATGTGTGCTTTGTGTGTGTGTGTGTGTGTATGTGTGTACAGTGGCTTGAGAAAATACAGTAGCCTTATGATGTGTGCTTTGTGTGTGTGTGTGTGTGTGTGTGGTGGTGGCCTGGGGAAAGAAGCACACACATATAGTAGTCTTGTGTGTGCTCTCTCCATCTGCCAGTGCCAATAGCCAGTCTATACAGAATGGCCTGAAAGTGGAACATCTCGGACCTTAGGTGGTCCCACGATGTTCCTAATTCCAAAGTTCTCTCTGGAACTGGCTGAAACTCCGCTCTTTAGGATTTTGCTTGCTGCCAGGTTTCCTCCCTTTTCTTGTTCTGCTTCTCCCACTGTGCTCATTCTATTTCTAAGAGCCCGTCCTTACTAAGACACTTGCATGTTAACCATCATTTCAGGGTTTACTCCTAGAAAACTTGTGCTGAGACAAATCCTCCAGGTGCTTTTGATGCCTTGGTGCTCTACTGCAGCCCCTGATGTGGGGATGGTAAAGAGGGATGTTTGGAATCGGGGTGAAGTTCCAGTGGGATCTGCTGTCTCCAGATAGGTGTGTGCTTCCAAAGCTCATAGCCAGGTGGGATCTGTTTAGGAACCTCGAGGCCTGGGTTTGCCTAGGTGGAGAGAGCAAAGGGCACACTAGGCAGAAGTGAAGACTGAACTCTTCCATTCACTAGTTAAGACACCTAATTAAATAGTAAACTATAAAATGATACTGACACCTGCTTCCTTGGTTTGTGATGAGGAAAGCCATGTAATTATTGCCCATGCTTACCATATTATATGTACTCGATAAATATTAACTATTATCTTTATCCTCTTTTTTCTCATAGTACTTGATGGGTGCTTCTATTTACCTCGAATCATTGAGTTGTGTGTGTTTATCTCCCCCATCCACTTTATTGCAGTGACTGATATGAATAATCTTTGTGGAGTACATAAATCCCATGTGATTTACCCAGCAATTCTAGATTCCCCCAGATTCAGTAAATACTTGTCAAGTTAAAGATAACTGACCAAGGGCGGGGGATAGGAAACAAATAATAAGAAAATAAAGGAGGAAAAGAAAGGAGGGAGCCTCAAAGGGGAGAGAAAATATTCTTCGTATGAGTTTCTACTTCAGTTTTTGTAGCAAAGTACAACCGAATCTTCAATAACAAAGAGACCTCACAGAGATCTTAAGTAGCCTTGCTCTTCAAGCCTGTGTTTTCTCTTGAACATTTGCTTATCTCTCTCCTTTGCTTGCTTGTTCTTTGGTGTACAAGTTCGCTTGAACACAAATTCCTTTCCTTTCCCCTCACCCTGCCCCCACTTATATCTTTCTAAGTTTTGTTCAATGAAAACTATCTTGCTTCACTAAAATAACTGAGAGATCGTAAGTGTACTACGACCTTCATTCACCTTAATTCAATAATATTGTTTGACCCACTCATATGTTCCATTATATTTGTTTTTGTTTTTGGGCCATACCCAGTGATGTTCATGGGTTACTCCTGGCTCTGAGCAATTGCTCCTCTTGGTTGCTTGAGGGACCATATGGGATGCTGAGAATTGAACTCAGGTTGGTTGCATAGAAGGTGAGTGCCTTATCCATTTTACTATCTCTCTGATGCCGTCATATGTTCCATTCTAAAGCATTATGTTTCACTTTGTATTCCTGTTCTTTGTGTATCCTGTTTGAGTACCAGAACCTGTATCTCCAGAATTTATTTTATTTGGAGAGGGTAAGGGGGTATCTCCCAAGTCATATTCAGAAAACCTAAAGGCTTCTGAGCAGTTTTCAGCCATCCCAGCAGGAAATTCAGTGGGAGGCCCCGAGGATGCAGTACTGCAAGGACCTTCAATGCCATGGATTACCTGAGCCACCTGGGAAGTGTTGGGAGGAGCCTCCAGGTCTATACACAGTGGTGCTCAAGGAGGTACATGCAGGGATCAAACTGGGGTTGTTCACATGCAAGGCAAGTGCCTTAATCCCTGTATGTCTCTAGCCCTGGAAATTCTGTTTCTTCACCACCAACACTACCAACGCTCCTTTCCCTCTACCCTCTACCCATATTTGTGGTGCTCAGTCTTACGCATCTCCAAGGAAAAGGAGATAAGGTATGGTAGTACGAGTACTAACTTTGGAGTCAGAAACACTTGGATTTTAATCTTCAGCAAGTTTCTACCTTCTCTAGTTGTTATTTTTCTTCACAATAATATGGTGAGACTAATAATACCTACCTCACAGGATCATTATATGATTTATAAATAGACATGCTACATGAGGCCTTGGTTTGTACATCTTGCAACACAGACAACAACAAACAAAAAACTAAAGAAAATAGGTGGGAAACTTAAAAATATTTAAACTAGATTGTAAGATAAAGTCCTGGGGGGGAAAAAAGAGCCCCATACAGAGAAACTTGTAGGTTTTAATGTTTCATGATTCATAATAGAGCAGTCTCAGAGTGATCCCCAGACAATCTGTTTCTGGCTTTAGAAACACTTCCTATGGACAATGGATGGCCCTGCCTCATCGTACTCAGGCTTGCTGATCCACATCTGCTGAAAGGTAGAGAGAGAGGCCAGGATGGACCCTCCAATCCAAACTGAGTACTTCCTCTCTGGAGGGGCAATAATCTGCAAAGAATAAAGTGATAAAGTATGATCAGTCACAAGAAATAAGGTGGGCTAGGAATATCTCACTACTGCTGATCTGCTCTAGAAAAGGAGAGCCTTGATGGTTAGAAACAAAGTGGGTTATTGTCCAAATCTTTGTTCTCCCATCCCCCTTTCCCCTCCATGGAAAGAATGCAATGTTCTACCCTGTGATTTTGAAGCTGACCATGTATTTGTTTTGATTAAAGGGAAAATATACATGATATACACATATTACAAAACAAGGTTTTTAAGTGTGCTTCAGGTATACTATTGTGCCATGACATCTTCAAAAGAAGAGGATTCAATGGAGCAGCTGCTGACTTTTCAGCCGGGTCCTCAAACTGTGAGATGTAGAGCTGATCTTAGCTTAGGAGACCTACAGAGCAGCCTAGACCTACACCAATCAATTCCCAGATGACCTGCCTATGAAAGAGCAATAAATGTTTATTAACATATGTCTTGAGATCACATAGTTGCTTATTACTCAGCAGTACCTAATCAATACAATCATGTGTAGAAGAAGTGACTCTTCTATTCTTGCCTCAAGTTTGGTTGCATTGGCAATGGACTTAGATTTCTGCATTCCTTCATCTAAACTAGACTTGATCTGTCAATAGACATTTGTATCTGAGAAGTTCTCAAATTCATGTATACTACTCAGAATACCAAACTTAGCTTTTGGAAGTTGGTTGTCATGTTGAACAACTTAATTGTGTTTTCCTGTGGCTTCAATGCCCTCACAAGCTTAGCACTATGGTGTTGATCGAGAGCCATGTGGTGTGGGGACATGTGCTCCATCCTTTTGAGCTATCTCTTCAGTCCATCAAATAACTTTGGACTTTGATTAAAAGTGGATCCATAAGGATTGACTCTCCAACTAGAGAGTCACTTTACAGAGGGTAAAAGAATTCAATACTGGGAAAACCAGACACTAAATTGGTTTGTCTCTAAGAGAATATCTTCATATTTGCTAAATTGCAGCAATCTTGTA